CCTACATCGAATCCATTCACAAGTCAGTTCCCCTTTCAAATATATCCTGAATCTGTTCATCTCTATTCAGTCTGTTCACCTCTTCAGTCTTTTCTTTCTACTGCTACCACCCTAGTACAAGCTTCCATCACATTTTCTCCAGATTTTTCTAATACGTTCAAAGCTGCTCTCCTATTTCCACTCTTGTCCCCTACCATTCTTTTTACACGAACAACCAAAGTGATTAAAGATAGATAGATCGATCATTAGTTAGATAGATAGATAGATAGATTGTTAGATAGATGATAGATAGAGATTGTCTACTTTGTCTCACCAGCATTTTAGGCTCTTCAAGGTGATGCTATTCCCCATCTATCTATCTATGATGTTCTCACCCCCCTGCTTAAAATCCTTCCTGAGTTTCCACGTCACTTAGAATAAAGCCCTAATTCCTCACCACTGCCTCTAAGGTCCCATGTGACCTGGCTCTCTTTCTCCACATCTCAGCCCACTCCCTGCTAATTCACTGTGCTTCAGTGACGCCTTTCTGTTCTGTAAACTCACCAAAACTATTTCCACATCAAGGCATTTGCACATGTGCCCTCTGTCCAGAATGCTCTTCCCCCAGATCTTTGTATGACCACAGGATCATTCAGACTCCAACTCAAAGGCCTGTTCAGAGCTCCCCTGAGCTCTACACCTAAAGCAGATCCCTCCCAGCCCGTCACACTCTATCATATCACCCTGCTTGGACTAACTTACAGTAATTTTTTATAAAATGTTCTAACGTCTTATTTCCTTACTTATTGTCTGTCTCCTACCATTAGAATGTGAACCCCCTAAAGGCAGAGATCTATTTGTCTCATTTACCACTGTATCCTCTGGGCCTAGAACACTGCCTAGAACATGGTGGGCAAGCAATGAGTATTTGTTGAATGATTTGGCTTTTCCTTAGAGCACAAAGTGTGTTTCAAGGTAAAATACCTAGGTGGGATACTGAGCCCATTTGCTTACTTACAATAAAAGATGCAACCCAAAGACAGCGAAAGCAGAGGACTCGTCATTTGCTTTTCTAATAAACTCCTTTCTCAGCATTACAGTCCACTACTATGAATTAAATTTCTGTCTCTTGGGCATTAGTGATAATAGACATCTCAATTTCATTGAGACTGACTCTTGCTTTTCACAAAAAGCATAAGCCTGGACGATTAGGTATTTTAGAAATAGTGAAAAGTCAACAACTTTCATTTTATTCTTCAAGGCCTCTTCTTGACTAGGCCTCAACCTTTGCCTCTAAGAAATGTAACTTTTAGCACAAATGGTTTTATCCATCCCTCACACTAAGAGACTTAAACAAACACTAACATAATTTCTATTAGCTCAGGGCTGTGTTCCTAGGATGACAACCCCAGTCCCCTTAAGATGCCATGCCTGGGAAAACTCAATACTGCCTAAAGAATTTATCGTTTGTTCTAGCAAAAACCTGACAATAGGCCCCTGACCTCACTTTTCTTAGAGCATTGACTTTAGAAAAACCTGCCACTGTAAATCCTTTCTCTGTCTCTTTGAGATTGTACCTTCTACAACCCAGGGATGTCTTTGTCAAGGATCTGGGAGCCATCCCTTTAAAATGCAACCATCAAGCCCAGGGTGCTTGTCTCCCAGACCCCGTGGGAGAATAGGAGCCTACCTTCCATAGATGCCAGTTCGCAGACACAGATGGCCTAATCACATTGACCAAGCCCCCGTAATGTCCTTCAGTAATTCTCCTTTAGCACCTCCAGTATTTAAAAAACCTCATGCCTTTTGTTTTGCTGAGTTTAGTTCAGTTCTATAGTGAAGTCTCTCTCCCCTACTGCAGGGGCTCAAGTAAAATCTTTCTTGCTACTTTTAACCAGAGTCTGGTGAATAATTTCTCTTTAATATCATGGGCTAGCTCATTATTCTGTGTGGTATATTTGGCTCTATTTTAGTGTGGATGGATTCTCACAGGTTGTGTACTTCGTCTCGCCAGCATTTTACTCTCATCAAGGCGATGCTATTCCTCAGGAATTGTTATAAACACTGTCTTCACTGGGCTGGGAGATGGACTCAAGGGAGAAACTAGTGATGAATTTCTATATATAAAAAAAAAAAATGATTGAGCTACGCCCTGAAGCAATGCCCAGACACCTATGTCCCAAAGCCTCTCTTGAAAATCTAATTTCAAGCCACTCTGCATTCCTTTTATTATGTCATTTGGGTCTTGCAGTCTTGAATGACTGTGGGGACGCTAAGTTCAGCAAGACAGTTGGATATAGGGTCTGTGGCTCAGGAGAGAAATTTGGGCTTGGAGACACAGACTTGAAGCAGTGAACTTTCAGATATAAATTGAGTAGATAAAGATTACTCAGCAAGAATGGGTTGACTGAGAAGAGGGCCAATGACAAAACCTCCCAGGAAATACCAATATTTTCAGAAAGGGTGGAGGACTGTGTTTCCCAACTTTAAACATATAGGAGCACCCATAGAAAATAGCATCTGTATGGCACACTGCAGGTAAACTGTAAGAGATTTAGGGGTGTCTATGTGGACTTGGTGAAATTGTTCATTACTTTCTGTATTGGTTTCCGAGGGCTGCTGTAACAAAGTACCACAAACTGGGTGGCTTAAAAGAACAGAAATTTATTGTCTTACGGTTCTGGAGGCTTTAAGTCCAAAATCAAGGTGTCAGCAGGGCCACGTTCCTTTTGAAATGTGTAAGGGAAATCTTTCCTTACCTCTTTCTTGCTTCTGGTAGTTTGTCATCAGTTCTTGGCTTTTTTTTTTGGCTTGAAACTGCATAACTCAGCTCTCTGCCTTTATCATTATATGTTCTTCCTGTGTATCTCTATGTCTTCATATGATCATCTTTTTGTAAGGACACCAGTCAGATTAGGGCTCCACCCTACTGCAGTATGACCTCATCTTAACTAATTATATCTGCAATGTCTCTATTTCCAAATAATGTCATATTCTGAGGAAATGGTGGTTAGGACATCAACGTATCTTTTTGTGGAGGGAAAATGAGTTCAATCCATAATAATAACTTCTTTACATACCATAACTATAAAATTAAAAGTAGTAGGAATGCTAAATATTGAATTTGTAAAATATTTAATATCAGATTTTATTTGAAATGGTTATATTTTCCTTCTAATTATATATGATCTCTTCAATTTTTTTTTTTTCTCCTCCAAATCCCTTTGAACGAAGCCATGGGCAGTAGAATATACAACATGGCTTGGATACATAGCACAGCAGGGCCTAGATAATGAGATAATTTTCCCCACATCTTGGGGAAAAGAATGAAATGTATTTCTTTATGAACGCTATTTTTAAAATATAAACTCACAACGTTCTCCAGGAGCTAGAGCCCAAGAGTTCCCACTGGGGATCCATCATCCATCAGAAGCAGTCTCTAGGAGGGGTAGGGAGTTTCTCCATGGCCAGGAGAGGCTGCAGCAGCCCCCGCCTTTGCTGGGAATGTGAGGCAGTGACAGCAGCAATGAGGGAACAGATCGGGTGGCAGCAGTTTGGGGCAGATCTTCAGCATCTTCATCACAAATACCCGGTAGGATCCAATTGGTGGCCTTTGCCAGTGGGGCCAGAGAGGCTGAGGGAGCCTTTTCCTTCATGGAGGCAGAGAATTTGCT